ATGGTCCACTGCTTCAGCCCTGAAGGGAGCGTAGATTGTTCGATGTCCTCGAGTAGCGTTGTGTAGTTGACTGTGTCGAAGGCTTTCGACAAGTCCAACGCTACGAGGATCGTCCTCTTGCAGGGTGGCTTCTGGTTTAGCGGGCGATAAGACTCCCCTTTGTTGGCGGGTTTCCCAGGTTTCAGTAGTGGGACCACTCTTCCGACTTTCTACACATCGGGTATTTGAAGAGTGGCCATCAACAAGTTGAGGACCTTGGTGAGATAGTTTACTCCCGTCGAGCCTAGATGTTTTAGCATCAGCATGCTTATTCCGTCAGGGCCAATGGATTTGGACGATTTGGCCTTTGTGATGGCACTCTGAACCTCCCCATCAGTGAAATTAAGTGGCGCGCGGTCTTTTGGCATTTTGCGCAGCCGTCGGGTAACACATCGTTTGGTCTTGTCAGTCGAAGGGTGCAGTGTAAACTGCCAGCTAAAATAGCTCGCGCACTTCTTCGGGTCCGAGGAGGCATAGCCATCGAATTAAATTACAACCCGACCGTCATGTCTCCTCGGATTTGACAGGGCCTTGACAGTAGTCCAAAGCTTACTCGCACCGGTGGAGAGGTTGCAGGACTTCAGGTGCTCTATCCATTTTGTCCGCTTATGATGGTTTACCATTTGCCGAATCTCCAAATTGAGATCCCTTATTCGGGGATCACAGGGATCGGCATAGCGTAAGGTGTCGCGCTCGTTTGCTAGTACAGCTGCTTCGGCTGGGAAATTAGGGCGGAGTTCCGTGATTCTTCCAGCCGGTATGAAGCGAGCAGCAGCAGCGGCGATCACCTTGCGGAATTGACGCTCGACAACGATGACGTCCGTAAAAATGGGTAGTGCGTTGAAGGTGCTCTCGGTAAATTTTGTGAAGCCGACCCTGTTAGCTTTGTTAAAGTTAACAAAGGTGCGGTTGTCCACAGAAATAAAGTCAGGAGGTTTCTCGATCGAGATAATTATGGGCAGATGGTCTGATGCAAGAGTTAGCATAGGTCGCTAGGTTATACTATTTATCAGACCACCGCTAGCGATGGTAATATCTGGCGAGCTATTACAGGTGCCCATAATTCTGGTGAGGGCTTCGTCATTCATTGTGCAAAATGTCGAATCGTCAATCTGTTCCGCCAGCTCCATCCCCCTACGATGGTTTGACAGGCAGGAATGCCAAAGATCGTGATGGGCGTGTAAGTCGCCTAGCACCAAACGGTTTTCACCACGAAGTAGCGCATCTATGTTCGGGTGATATCCTGTTGAGCAACATGTAACGGGGGGTATGTATATATTAAATATTTCGAGCTCGACATCGCCTGACCGGACAGCTATACAATCACATTCAAGGGTAGTGTCCCTGCTGTCGATATCAACATCGATTAGACAATATTGCACGGTTTGAGCAATATGAAGGCTAGGCCTCCACCATTATCTCGCTCGCGATCCTTACGTATAACGTTGAAACCTGCACAACTCAGAAGATCTGAGCGGCTGTTTAACTTGGTTTCTTGGACCGCAGCTATCGTTATGCGCTCCCGGCTCATGAATGCAACTATCTCCTCGATCTTGCTCTGGAGTCTGTTGCAGTTGAATTGTAGGAGTCGCGTTTGTCGCGGGTGTCCGGTCGTGATCCTAGGGGTGAGTGGGGTGCGTGTAGGTGGTGGTTGTTGCAGCTGTACTATCCGCATGGGCGGTTGTCGAACTGTGGTGTTGATCGGCGACGCCACTGTATGTGATTGCGGGGACTCGCTGGGTCGTAACCAACTATTAGCAACTTGACATAGCGTATGCCTTGGAGATGGTGCCAATGTCTCCCCCTGCTCGGATGCTATGAAAAAATTTTTAGAAAAAATTTAATCGAAGCATCCATCGGTTTATAACGGTATGACCAACAAAATTTTTTTTTATAAAATAAAATAGTTGGTGCCAAGTGTGATAAAGTTAATTTTTTGCTAGTAACATAGAGATTTTTGCATGTAAGTATTATAAGTTATTGTGCGTAAAAGGGTGTTAGTAAATATTATTAAGTTTTGCTCATAAATTATCTAAAAAAAAAATGGTAATAAAAATCTTGTTTAAAAAATAAACGTAATTAATTATCATAAGTTCTACTTCAAATGGGGTCCCCAATCATATTTGACAAAGGAAGAAGAAAACATCCTTGTTTCCTGGATATTAAAATTGTGCAAATGTAGATTTCTTATTAAAAAACGACGATTTTCAGAACAAGAACCAGAAAATAAATTAATGTTGTTGTTGCTATTGTAGTGGTTAACTAGTCCTCACTTGGTTGGTAAGGTTCAAGTTGGTTGTCATCGAAGTAATCTAACGGTACGCCCAGGATACGTGCTGTTTCAATGGGGTAGGACCATAGGCAGAGAGGTGTTAGATAAGTGCGGTTCGTTGGGCATGCAGTTCAGAAAATAATCAAAGTTATCACTGTCTCCGTTCTCCGATGGACTGCCATCAGTTTAAAGATGGAAATCCGGGAAAGAAGTGGTTTACGCTATTCTAAAAACGTAATCCTGAGTTGTTATTGAGAGAAGCTGAATCTATTATAAAGGCGCAGAGTTGCAGTTAGCGGGGAACTAATTACAAAATTATTTCCTGCTGCCTAATTTACTGAAAAATTCTTAAAACGAGGACATTTTAGAAACCCCATCACGAATGTTGAATGCCGATGGGACTAGCTTTTCGTTATGTCCAAAAAATGGGAAAAGTTATAGCACCGAAAGGTTACAAAAACGTCTACAAAATACCGTCTGCTTCAGAAAAGGATACCATAACAGTATTAATTTGTATATCTGCTAATGGCAATATATCGCGTGATGGTTATCTTCCCTTACTTAAGGCCATCAAAAGATATAGTAAACAGCATGCCAGATAGCTGGTTTCTAGGCCGTCCTAAAAGTGGGTGGGTGATGGTGGATTATTAATTATCAATAAAACTTTACGTTCTTTTTTAAATACTGTTTTGTTTTCTTAAAAAAAAGTATATGTCCGACCACTGGATCGTTGATGTCCGTTTAATAGAAAAAATGTTTGGATACTGGAGAGATTGGCCTTTTTTAAAAAACATCCTATTATACAAAAAAGTTGCCTTGTTTATGAAAAACTGATATATGTATTTAGTAGAGTTAATCGGCCTGAATTGCTATCAAATGTTGGCACATCATTGAATGCCTGTCATACATTGTATAAATCTACAAGTAACCAATCCTAAGATTTTCACTAATACACACGCAAAAATGTCCCACTTGGTACGGGTTGCTACGAAAATTCTACTACTACAATTGCTATTCTACTACTGGTTGCCTGCTTATATTCTACTACTAAAGTCACACAACCAATATTCTGCTACTAAAATGCCCAAATGACACAAATCTGCTAGTGTGTTGGCGTATTATGTTTTAAAATTTATAACTTTAAGAATGTTTTTATTACATAGTCAAATATTTTTCGGTTGTTTTAATTCCTAAAGATTAAATTTACATAGTATTATTTAAATTATTATTTATTGTATTGAAATATTATTAAATGTTTCCAATTTTATCAAATATATTATTGTGTAACGGTGATTTAGAATATTTTGAATATATTATTACTTAGTAGATTGTTTTGATTATTGTTATTGTTCCTGAATTGTACCTCATTTTTTATATTTATTTTCGTTTTTGTTCAAATCAAGTTGAATATTTCAACTTATGTTGTTAATATTATATTGTTAATGTAATTGATACCTGATTCATGTACCTGATTTTATGTATATATCTTTTCGATTTATAATTGTTATGAAAAGTAGATTGTTTTAGAACTGTATATATTATATGGGTGAATATAGGCCTCCTGGGGAACCGAACACCTCAGAGGTGGTGAGGAAAAGCAATAAATATATAATAATCTTTTGTTTCGAAAAAATTCTTGAAAGTTTTCATTAATATTCTCCATTACAAATACATGTTTACAAACAAGTTGTTACCTACATACATTCCTTTTTTTTACATGCTGTCAAAAAAGCAGATTCGATCAGGTGATCACGGCTGTTTTATACACATAGGAAAACAGCTGATTCTTTGGTTACTTGTAGGCTTATACCATGCTGTCATACTGATTTATAATGTAGAAAAAATTGTTAAGTGTCTGTCCACTGGCACATTGAGGAGAGTACGATCTCCGTGGTGCCGCGATTTGACGATGGATTTGGCTTAATTAAGCCAGAAAAAACGAAAATGAAGAATAAAATTTTTCGATATATCGCTTCATTTTCGAGATATCGATATACGAATTTGGAAAAATTTGGGTAAATGTATGGTTTATGTCCCCCAACTAGGGAGGCCTCAAAACTGAAATTTTTTTTAAATCGTCTTATTTTACGAGTAGATTACAAATTCGTGAGCGGAAAGTGAATTTTTTCAATAATTTCAATAATTTATTTAATACACTTTGCACATATCACATATTCAAGTCACTTAGTTGTTGTTGTTGGAAACTAGTTCGACGATCTCCGATAATCGTCCATACCATCAGATCGCGGCACAAAAGAAATTGTGACTGTTACATTTCTTCAGTATATTTTTTTCATAAGAAAATGTTTAACACGCTGAACTGGTAATTACAGCTAAGTGATCTGAATTCTACAGAATTTTGCCGCTACAACAACAACAACTAAGAGTGACATTTTCGGTTTTTTCTGGCTTAATTAATCCAAATCCATCGTCAAATCGCGGCGCCACGGAAATTGTACTCGTGCCGTCACATTTACCCTTCATCTCTAAATAACTAAATGTCACAGCTGATTAGACCTGTTCGTTTTCAATTGAGAAATTTGTGTAACTGTCCGTATCCACTCTTAATCCGAAGTATAGGTATGGTATCTCAGAATATCCCGTACAAATGCGTTATAAACTAGTGTATTTAAACACTTTTAATAGTGTTAACTTTCGGTAATTTTCTCGTAACTAAAAGTGATATTACCTGCGCTAAATGATCCAAACCACCATGATGAAAGTGAAGTATTTTATACTGGGACTCTCTTGACGAAATTACCAGTTGCCCGGAAGTACAATTATTGTCATTGAAAAACAAACGCAATGAACGCATTTGACTCAGGTCGACGGAAAATCGCCGACAATTTGTTTTTTTTCGAGGAACTGAATATTCGAGACATGACTTTGGCCTGTGTTGTAGCGTTAATAAACTCGAAGGCGCATTATAAAGATCAATATCATCGGATAAATAATATTCACGATTAAGATATAACTTATTTATATCGGTTACAACGCTGTTTATGGAATCCTTTACATTGATATTCTCAATATGTGGATTGGAAATTGTTATATTAACTGATGTAATAAGACTTCTATTCAGTAAAACATTAATATCACGTATCGAATTTAAATTTTCACCTAGTAGAGGCTGTAGCTCATTTTTAAGCTCCTGAATATCAATATTGGAGCCATATATTTCCCTTTTCTGTTCGTCCTTAACAATTCTTTCATTTCCAAATCCATTTGGAACCCCTATATCGTATGTTGGTTGGGTTCCATTCCTATCAAATACTTCGCAATGTAAGTTTTGATAGAACTTTTTTTCTTCTGACTTCGATTCACAAAGTGAGGAGTTAGGGATCCACGTGAGTAACAACGTCGACCGGCTCGCTTTATTAAATTGATCCACGAAAGTTTTCGATGTAACAGTCAAATATCCTGGATAGTGAATCAATTCGGATTCTTGTCGTATAGAAATTGGTGGGTGTATGCAAACATTATTTTTGCAAAACAAAACCTCGTTGTCCTCATAAACATCAACTTTTTCAATGGATTTATCAACCCCCAAAATACGACTTGATGCTCTTTTGAGAATATTTACAATCGACATTTCTGATAACTTGACCCTTTTAGAATATTTCAAACACGAACTTTAAAAATACTTGTTTCTCTTAACCCGTGCAATTTTGTTTATTGTTATAACAATACTAGACTAAACTCTCAAAAAAATTCGATAAGTCAACTGATTACGCACAGGTAAAAAATTGTAATACTATGTTCACACAAGGACTCTTTTCGTCTCCCAAAATGGTTCTTTAGCGAGAAGATGAGGGACCGCGCTATTGATACTAGAATGGTACTAGAAGTTGTTGTTGTTGTTGTTGTTGTAGCGGCAGAATTCTGCAGTTGAAAGTCCTTGGCCGGATAAAAATCCGGGCCCGTTCCGGTTATAGACCCGACTTTCATCGGAACGATGTACTAGAACGCTCTATGTTCTTGTTCGTTCCAGTTCGTTGCTATGCAATTCGGCATTCCGTTTCATTTCGAATTATTTTCATGGCCGTAATAGCGCTCCGTTTCAGATTAATATATACAATATTTTTGAAAATTTGAATTTGATTATCTATTTTTGTATGTAAAATGCAAAGATGAATGTATAAGTCTACAATGCAATAGAAATTTTTAATCAAATATATTTACGTACACCGCGCACATAAAGCGTACAAGAATTTTAGAATGTGATATGAAAGAAAATGCAGAAAAAGAGTTAATACCCAATTTATTGGGCAGGGCACAGCAATTTAGTTGAAGGTTAAGATCTCAGTCCCGCATTTAAGATATTAAATAAAAATGCCCGTTTAATTTTGGGGGGACATATGTATATTCGTTCAGAATTATTGTGACAATTTCATTGAAACAACTGAAATTTCAATTTTAACAAATTAATATAGGATGTCCACGGGTGGTGCGGTGATAATCTCATTGCGTGGGAAAAGCTGTGTCGGGCATGACCGTTGTCTAATCGAATGTAGGTTTATACAATGATAGCAGTGAAATTCCAAGCCTCATGTTGATTGTATGTGTGGTGTGTCATTGTGTGGTATGATCGTCTATGATGTTCTCAGATGTGGTGGGTGGTAATAGGGTGTGTCAGTTTTTTTAGGATAGCGTGGTGTGAACATGTGCTCAAGGCGTAGTGTTGTGTATTGGATGGGGATGCCTAGCAAATTTAGCCTTAACTATAACACTATCAATTTTTTCTTGATATTTAATTTAATTGATCTAAACTCTATCTCCCGATGGAAAGAAATACCGTTGATGAAAAGCAATGCCTTAACTCTTTATCGAAAGGTGACCTTCGCTCACCACTTTGTTTTCATTGGTGCGTAATCAAGGATAAAATGATCCAAAACTCCTCTCTTTGCGTTATGAGCGAGCTCATGATCTCGTCGTTTACTTTGGCAGCACTGAAAGTCAATGTGCTACTGAACAGATGACAAGCAAACAACGAACTACCACTAAGAATCCCGCAAAAATAAATTGAGAAATCAGTGGGTTATTGCGAGATCAGATTTTTTAGTGACTTTTACGTGTGTTTCTAATCTTTATTTAAAGAGATTTAATATAGTTTTGTTTTTTAAGAAAGAGCGGGTATTATGTCTCAGAGTATTGGTTTGCCTAGCAGTACCAATTGCCAACGTATATACATATTTTGGTTAGAATTCACCACAAATATTATTCGAACTTTGACTTCCGAACACGTTGTCAAAAAATATTTGTTCATTGAGTATATAAAAAAAGAAGTAATGTTCATGTAAGTATTGACATATTTAAATATTTTGTTACATTGAGCTTTAAAAGTTAATTTTGAAAATCCTTTGTGATTAAAATAGGTAGGTAGCTAGGTAGAGTGGCTGTCTAACGACGCACCTAGGCCTATAGGAGGCCCATTGTGATATAATTTTATTGTGATATATAATGTTCTCTCCCTCTATTGTCTCCTCTCTGAACCAATCTGTGCTTCTGACGGATCTCATCAGTACAAATAGTTTTATATTAGCAACTTCCGATATGTCGCCAAGGAATCCACGACCGATAGTTGCGTTTCTTTTCCTGTATAAAGCTTTACATTCACATAGATGCTTTACAGTCTCCTCTTCTTCTACTTCTTGACAGCTTCTACAATAATCGTTGTAAAGTACGCCTAACCTGCTGGCATGTCTGCTGACCTGTTAGTACTCCTATCAGAGTTCTTATGTCATTCCTTTTGAGTTTTAATAGTCGGTTTGTACGACTCACGCTCCATTCCAGCCACGTTAGTATGCTAATTAAGTAAGTTATTGATTGGCTCAACCGAGACTCAGCTGGATTTATAGCATATTCGCTGATTAAGTTTTGCCAGAGGCATAAAAATTCCCTCTTTTTCAGAAGTTAATTGTAAAGTGGTACCTGTTCCGGTTAGTTCGTCTGCTTCGCAGTTACCAGGGATATCATTATGCCCTGGAACCCATTGCAGGTTTATCGTGAAGTAGGATGTTAGATCCTCTAATAGATCAAGACATTCTTTCACTATCTTTAATGAGACCATAGCAGACTTCAAGGCCGCTTGGCTAAAACATAATATTGTGATTCGGCATGGGCCACGTGGCCACTTTTCTTTTCTGAATGAATTTGCTTTTGTTTTAATATGAAATATTTAGAAAATATAGAGCGAATTTGCTTGAATATTAATAGTCGATGATGGTGCGTCTGTGCTTTTTTGTCCCTTGCGCAAATGTTTAATTTTGTACAAAGTCATATCGACTCATGTAGCCCCAGCATGTTAAAAGAAAAATTAATTATTTTTTTCCTTTGACAACTATTTGTATGAATCAATTTCTAAATTAAACTTCTTGGATTCTTATACCGGCAATTACGTGATCGCCTTTATTTGTAAATAATATTTTCACTGTATTAAATAGTTTATTGTATATGTAGAAGTATTTAATGTGTAGGTATATCATAGCCATAGCATCGAATGACCGAATATACTATCTATAATACAAAAATGCACTGAATGTGTTGCTAAGCGCAAATCTCGAGAATAGCTGAACCGATTTCGCTAATTCTTTATTTTTAGAATATGGCTTGAAGTACGAGAATGGTTCTTAAGCAGAGAAAAATTAAAAAAAATGTCTGAAAAAGCCTAAAACCAACACTTTTCTATACTCCCATACAAACAATTCGTAATCTTACTAGTCTATATGTAGATAAAAGAGAGTAGTGTTAAAATATTTATAACCTAAGAACGGTTTAACTGATTTGGCTTAAAATTGGTGGGGAGACAGCTTAGAATCGCCTATTTTAAATCATTTGCTAATATTTGTTAATGAAAAAGAAAACATTAATTAATATAGTCGGAATGACATCACATAATCTTCGGTTGAAAGTAATTTCAATACACGTCAATTATGCAACATTACAGATAGATAGATAGATTAGTTTTGAGGTATGCACCGCAACCTATGGTCTATTGTGCCCTCCCCTAAGTCATATCGACTCTCTGCTTCTTGAGCCTGCAATGGCCGGTGTAAAACGTGACAAGCAGCCGGAATTTGTTCCTCGGGAGATTGATTACGATTTTAAACCGTTTACGGTCGTAACCCCCCATTAGCAACCTGACATAGCGCATGCCTAGAAGTTGTTGCCAATGTCTATCCCTGCCTGCCCTTTCCTCCCTAAGGAGCATTTCTTTAATGGTATGTGGGCCAACCGCTACGCATGGTTCTAGTCCTAGCATTTTTGTGGAGGCTGCAGAGCGGGCCAACTCGTCAGCCAGTTCATTCCCGGCTATAACCCTGTGGCCTGGCACCCAAATAAGGTGCACTCGGTGGTTGTTTGAAAGGCTGTTCAGCTGTTCTATGCACTCCTGCACTAGTAGGGATCTGACCTCATAGGCAGAGATCGATTTTAGTGCCGCCTGACTATCGCTGAGTATAGCAATATTTTTATTGCGATAGTTGCGTTGGAGGTTTATCTCTACACACCGACTTATAGCATAGACCTCGGCTTGGAAAACTTCCCATGGGAATGGAGAGTTTGGTGCTTGGCCCAGCGACCCCTGCACCAATCCTCTCCGCCGTTTTCGGGCCGTCGGTGTACCACTTGATAGTGCTTTCCCAGCGTCCCAGGTCCAGCGAGGAATCATTCCATACTTGACCGTGCTGGGCATCTCTAACACTCTGCCGTCAAGGGATAAAGTTCTGAGGCCTGACCGAGACCTCTGTCTAGTGAAGGGAATGATTGTAGTTTTAGAGGGGTTGATGTTTAGGCCAACCCCACTACACCATCCTTTTGCCATTTTGAATTTTAGTATCTCTTACCGAGGTTTCAGCTACCCTAGTGAGCAGTACGGCTGTGATCCATCTGCATACTGGTGCTGCCACACTCCCTTTCTCCAGTGCTCTTGACATGCTTTAGTGAGATGTATTCTCAAAAGCACCTTCGATGTCAAGGAAGGCGCATAACATCACCTCAACCCCATCTAACGAACTCTGGATCTCCAATGTTAGCTGATACATAGCAGTATTTGTTGATCTGCCTGCTCTGTAAGCATGTTGCTTCGCATGAAGCGGTGAAGCCTTCTGCACCTTCAATCGTATTTCGTGGTCGATGATCTTTTCCATACTCTTAAGTAGGTAGGAAGTAAGACTAATTGCCTGAAGGACTTCGCCAATGAGTAGTCTTTCCTTCCTACCTTGGGCATGAAGATCACCGTTGCAGTGCGCCATCTTTCTGGGATATATGCTAGCGCTAGGCTATCCCTCATCAGTTAGGCTGCACCTGTAGTCCTCCCAGTTCCCGGTACGCTTAGCCTTGTTAAATAGTTTGCGTATCGTGTTCCTTAGTTCTGAGAGATTATTAGACCACCAGGAGCAGCTGCGGCTTTTGGTAGTTGTCTTTAAGGGACAGCTGCTGTAATATGCCTCTATAATGGATTGGTTTAACGCAGACAGTCTGCTCTCCAATCCAGAAGCCGTTGCACTTCTATCCAGCTGCCCCTTTCTACCAACATTTGTTTCAAGCGAGTCCCTTAAAGTGGCCCAGTCTGTGTTCTTAGGGATATGCTTGGGAGGGAGTTGTTTGACCTCTATCCCCAGTGCGAATTTTATGATTAGCTGATCTGACATTGAGCGTTCTGATGACACTCCATTGCGAGATCAGCCCTGCCATAGATTCGTTACTAAAAGTGATGCTCAGCACCTCCCTTCTAACCCTAGTTACAATGGTGGGTTCGCACCCCCCGATTGCTTTGCTTAGGTTTTTACTGACTATAAATTCAATGAGAGACTCACCCCGTGTGTTGCAGTCCGTGCTGCCCCATTCCGTATGGTGGGCGTTGGCGTCACATCCTAGGACGAGGGGCAGCTTATTTCTTCTGCAATAATCCACCAGGTTGCCGACTGCCTCTGGAGGTGCAGTCGGAGTCTTCCCCAGAAAGTAGGCCGCTGCCATGACGAAGTCCGCTCTTTCGTCGTTTTTTGCTTGTACAGCGACCAGATCCTGTGTTAGGAACTCTGAAATACAAAAGAAATCAATATCGTTCCTAACTACTACGCAGGTTCTGGGTCCACCCACTAGGTCCGTGAGCCCTTCCAGAAGCTCTTGCGTGGAGGGTAGCGCCCCACTTGTGCGCCTTTCTTCACCAGCATTTTGTCTCCTGTATCGCCCTCGGTGGTCGTTTTAGACTTGTATGGCCTCAAGACCACCGAGCTGAACCTATAGTTCAGACGGACGCTCTCCCTCCGGACGAATTTATACGATTCGTCGTCTATGCAGAGGTTTGAGCCTCCACCCTGAATTCTCGGCCTTGCTGCTCACAACTCGCCTGACCGTTGTACTGAGGCCCTCATTTTGGTTTCTAATGAGCCCGAGAGTAAACTCATATGTACTTTGCGCAGAAGATGGGGTCATTCCAGCCTGCCAGCTTGGGTGCGATCTGCCTCAGCCAGCCAGCAGACCTCTCATCCTTGCAGTCAACCTGCAACATGCCTCCTTTAAAATATACGCCATGGAAGGAGATTTTGTATCCAGACCCTCTGAACACCTCTTCCATGAGTAGGTCTTGGAACACGGTGTACTCCTCCGACCCCAGCGTCTTCACCGGGTAGTTCAGAGGCAGCACAGCCATGCGAATACCTTTGAAAACATCCGCGTATCTGCGCTGTCCCTCCACTGCCCGAGGGGGGGAGTTCGGGGCGATCTGATCCTCCTCGAGAGAGTTTCTGTGGGGTTCGCTTTTTCCGAGCCGGCCGCAGTGGATTTCGCCCGCTGAGCGCTGCTGCACGAGGGCATATCATCATCGTCGTCCCTGGCATGCTCCTCGAACAGCGCCCGAGCCTCTAGCGAAAGGGCACTCAAGCTTGTGTTGTTATCTTTGTCCGTGTTCGTTCACTGTTGTTGTCGCCTTGTTCCGTTGGTTGTTGTTGTGTTTGTTGTAGGTTCTTTGTTCATCTTGTTCGTAC